TTATTATATATATATATATATATATATATATATATATATATATATATATATATATATATATATATATATATATTCAAGTAATAGTTGAATAATGTTTATTTAAATCCCTTGGATTCTTTTTTATTTTTTCATATTTTATATTTCTATATTTTTTATTTTATACATATCTCTGTAATATATATTATTTATGATATAAAAATTAAGACAAGACTGAGCGAATCTCTTTTACAATTAGAGAAAAAGTAATTTTAGAAAATTTAGAAAAATTACTTTTTCTCTAAAGTAAAATATTTTTTTTCCAATTTGATATTTTTTTCTCAGTAATCCTTTTTAACACATTGCTATCGGCGCACATGTGACATCTTTGGTCACTTGACGTGTTAAAGTAGCGGCTGAGACATCAAATAACATTTTGAATAATGCACCGGTTATTTGTATCCGAATGACGCGATTTATATTTGCATATTCACTCTAATTGAATTATCACACCATTTAACGAGGCGATATATAAAGATAAAATCATATGAGAGAAGATTTAATATAACTAAAAATTATTTAACTAACAATATGCATCCTATCTTTGTACTTTATCCCAGTTTGGAAAAATAAAGTGCATCTACTATAATTAATATCAAGTCTACAGCATCAAGAATTTAACTTGTTAAAAATTGTTGCAAGAAACGTAGTACACATTTCGTGACAATGCATAAAATACGTCGAAGATTCTTCGAGAACCTTGAACGAGTTATCTGTGTGGTATTTTCATTAACAAGCCTGTTACGATTCTACGAATCCTGAAGCTCCATCATGTTGTATGCACAATCGCACATGTGCCTTTTTTTTTTTTTATATAAATACAATTAAAAGTTAATTTCTCTTTTTTCTCTTTTATGAAAACGGTAGATCTTATAAATACTTGAAACTGTTTTAACACTTGCGATTGATTTAAATATCTATGTAATTTTATAAATGTGTCCCTACTTTTCTTTTCGCGAGATTCTAAATGCAGTTGCATGCAACCAGATGAGGAAATTTTCCGCTGCCACTTATGAACAGATTGAGAATACGTAATGCAAAAGCACCTACGCATATTTGATGGTGTTAACATATGCACCACGCGTATGCAGTGGTGTTAACGAGGTACAGATGCTCGGTGCTATAAAAGTGGCGGTCGGAGTGTGTCTCAAGCCTATAGTTTAAAAAATGTGCGCTGCTGCATATCGCGTTCGGTCCTTTTGGCCATTTTACATTGCATACTTAGTATTGACATTGATATTATCATTGTCAATGACATTACAAGTGAGTGCGAGTCCATTACCGGATCTTACACAACAATACCAAAATTTGCTAGCCGAGGCTTCCACAGATAATTCGACGGACAGTACGACAGATGATTCGACGATTGCGGCCAATACTGATGTGTAATTTCTGTTTATATTTCAATATTATGTATTAAATTATACTATAGATATAATTAAGTAATATTATTATATAAAAAAGAAAATATAAAATACGAATTTTGTACTACTATAAATTTCTGACGCTGTAAACATCTTCGATATTAATTCTAATTTCTTGATTTTTCAATATTTTTATCCTAAATAAAATAACAAAAGTAAAATGTATTTTTCGCTTTTTAGATACGTGGTAAAGGCTGTAGTTTACGAAATCGGAATTCTCACGGATACGGACAATACAACGAGTAGCGAAAGTACTGAAAAGTAATTATAATATTTTATCTATTTTTTATGTTTTCGTTAATGAGAGAACATTACGGCGAGAAATGATTATTATTTTACAAATAATTTTAAAATTATTTTTCACACTTTGCAGACAAGAAAGAATTGATATATCGTTGTACGATCCGCCGCACTCATAAACGAAATCTCGTAATCTCCAACGAATTTTTCTATCTTGAAGCACATACCGAAAGTATGAAAATTACATCTGGTGCATTTATGAATTGAAAGCAAGAACTAAAATGACAGATCGCACTGTTAATGTAAAAATTGCACATACAGGACGACAATATTTTCTGTAGGTGTGCATGGAAACTTGTCGATTTTACAAGTTAGAAATGTATCGAGATAATACAAAATGTAACAATATATCATGTACATAATTTATAAAAGTTTCGATATTAAACCAATGATGCTGTGAAACGAGCGCTTTTGGGATTTAGAACAATGTTTTATTATATCATTTAATTATGAACAATATCGCGTATACAACGCTATAAACACATTTGCTGCTGCTGCTGCTGCAAAACCTGCGAGGCAGAAGAAAGTCGCGGAACAATCAGGTAACATAATTCGCAGACTGATCTCTCGGTGAATGATAGGACATATGTAAGGTAGCTCGGTCGAAGAAGTGCGCAACACGTTGACATTAATTTTCCTGCGGTTTTAACGTCATTTATCTCTGGAAGATCTTGGTGAAAGACTTTCAGCAGTTACTTAAACGTACGTATAAATCTCTTCCTTTTCTCATTGGAATGCAAATAAGCGCGCAAGTTCATCAAGAGAGTTCCGGTTAGTACGATATCATGTACAAATTTCGACCAAATATTATGACAAAGGGTAATAAAAATATTCTCGATTCTCTTTTCTCTCTTTTTCTGCTTGTATCGCATCATTGAACTAACGTACATTCAGACAGTAGGCACTGCACCTAAGTACCTTTGCCTTATCGAAGGACTAAGCAAAAGCACTAGTTTGTGAAATACCAGTTCTTCATAGTATTAAAACGTCGTTACAATAATTCTTCCCTTACGTTCCTCCTCCGCGCTTCGATAATATACAAATACATAATAAATGTTCCATGAAAACAAATTAAACATGATTCGAAGGAGATAAAATTTGTCAGAGGTCTCTCTCCCTTTCTGTCTTTTATCCTATAAATTGCCTATATAAATCGCATGACGCAACGTTGCGATTTATCCTTTCCGTTCTTTCCTTTCTGTTTAGGTGGAGACCAGTTATCAGTTACGTATAAATAACAATTTATGAAACTCTTAACAATAATCGTAAAATATTTGAGGTGGGGAAGTAGGGGAGGATTCTATTTTCACGCGGATAATTATAAACGTTGGCCATCGGAGAAAGGTGGGGATGAAAAGGGGGATGTACCTATATATAATAAACATCAAATTATTCGCTAAGTGTAGTTGAGCGTCGATCACTTTCGGTATGTCGGATTTATTCAAATATACCCTGCTACGGGACCGTAGTCTTAGCCCAACGCCAACAATTTTTTTTTTCTTCCAAAGCATAATTAACGTGATGTCTAATGAAAAATAGAGAAGGCATATAATGCTTCCGATCGTTTTCGTACGACTCGATACTGATATGATTTTCTCTTCCTATTGCCATAGATCGTCTAACGTAGGCAGGGGGGAACGTTTCATTTAGCGTCTTTCGACGCTGCTGGCACGGAATCGGCGGTGCCGGCGGATGTGCTCTTCGGAGAAGCAGCTGCTGCGGCTTGCTGCTCAATTGACGGCTTTTCGCTCTCTATCGTGCTCTTCGCGACATCCTGCGCAGCTTTGTTTTCCTCCGCGCTTTCGGAATCCCTAGAACAAGGCAAACGCGAATTTATATTCAAGCCTCGACAGCCAAATGTTGTATAAATACCTGTTAGCGGATAACTCGCTAGTACTGGCAGCCTCGTTTACGGGGATTGGCTTATCCTCGTCACTCTTGTTACTACTGACGTTAGTTTCCGCAACTGGTAAACCTTGGCTAGCTATGAGATCTTTGTTCTTTTCGTTGCCATCTCCAGCGCTATCACTGGAAGTCTTCTCTATTAAGTTCGTGGCCGTTGCTTCTGGTATCTTCTCTTTAAGCTCGTCGCACGGTTTTTTATTCTCGCTCGCGGTGTTCTCTATGCTCAAACTATTTTCGAAATTTTCGAAATTGGCCCAACCAGTAGATTCCACCGGCTCCGACGGTACTACGTCCCACGGATTGACCGGTGGAAGTATAGTACCAGTGTTTAGCGGCTCGGTATTGTCCCAGGCTGAAATTTACAATGCGTTCCGATAAAGTAATCGAATAATTTTGAATACCAGATAATATAAAAATCGTTGATAGAAACGTACGATCAGTCGTGTCGACTTCCATGTGCATATCGCGCGGATCCTCATCATCCTCGTCCGACGAACTGGAGTCCTGGTGCTGCTGCTTAGAATGCCAATCGCGTTTGTCCACCACGGTTTGAAACGTGAGTTCACCCTCATCGCCCCATTCTAAACCACTGCCACAGTCCTCCAGTCCGGCTTTTTGTTTTTGTTGGCACAGCTTTAACAAACGATTTTCTTTGTAAGTTTTGGATTTCGTATAATTAGAAATATTATTCGATAACAGTAGTGCAAGCAGATATCTACCTTATTAAACATATCTTCTCGCTTGTCGAGATCTTCTTCACTGAGGGTAAAGGCCAACGTTGTTAATTGGTCAACTGGGTTACTATAATATCATACTTCTTAACGAAAACAGCCGGGAATAAAATGTCACGATATTACATCGCGCTTTTTTCACACGTGCGTTTTCTTGTTTCTGGCAAATTCTATAATTGCCCTCCCCCCCCCCCCTCGCCCTAGCAGTGCTATTACTTTTCTTAACGAGAAGGAAAGACATATTTCTCGCATATACTTACTGAAGCGCGTCGTCGCCATCATTAAACTCGTCGTCATGGAATCCAAAGTTCTCGATAAACGGTGGTGTTATTTGTTGACCCTGATAATTGGAGTACATCTAAAAAAATACGGAATAATAGATCGAGAAATAACATTGGTTTATCAATAATATACAAGTGATTGCTAACCTGTTGAATATAAGTCTCTTGTGAGTAAGAATTGTAATCGTCCGGATTGTCCTCGGAGGTCATCAGGTACACTGGGGTCTGATCGCCCTAAAAAAATCCCATTATAATTAATCAATTATTATTTTTAAACAATAGACACATTTGCAGAAGATAAAAAAAAATAAAATATATTATTGCCACGCACCATCATCACAGTTTGATGAATTTTATTGATCTCCACTAGCTGTGTATTGACCAGATTTTCCCATTTACTAAGACACTCGGGCGACAAATTGTTCTTCAAAAAGCTGGCCAATATGTTATTCTTTTCGCACTGTGTGACGATATTGTTCGCGATATTTATCAAATGTCCCATATAGCCCTGTCGAACGCCATTCTCTTTATTTCTGTAAACGGAATCCGATGTTACAATCCGAAATTTCTTTTCAGAGACATGTTGCGTAAAATTAAATACTTTGGTTTCTTACTGTTTACTCTCGTTTTTATCCCATGCTTCTAAAATCCTCTCTATTAATTTGCATTTGATAAATATCTGAAAATTAATGCGCTCAGATTATTTAATATTTCTTATCGTCGTTCATTATGTATTGTAAAAAGTGTAACTTACATTATTATAAATAATATCATTATCCCGATGTCCGCAATTAATAGCTAAGGCCAGGCACTGTTGTACTTGTGTATGTAAGAAATTATTCCACGTAAATTTGAAAAACAGATCCTATATAACAATTGGAAATGCCGATGAATGAAGGGAAAATGGCAGAATGACAAAAATAGTGGCTTGAAAGCAGCCAAAGATGTGGCCTTACCAACAATGTTTGGAATGTTCCCAAATTTGCTAAACTTTCGTGGATCTTTAAACTTTCCGTCGATAATAACGCACTTAACAACTTTGCTACATGCAAACGAGTATTTCCCAATGGACATTCTAAAAGTCCAACGGTTGTCTTCACCGCAGGTTTCTGTGGAACAGATGTTTAGTTATTTTTAAAATAAATTGATAACTTATATAAAAATATTTATATAATGAAGAAACAAACAAATTTTCTATACAGAAAAATGTTTGAAGCAGCTCTTACATGTGGTGGATCTAAGAGAAGTTTGTGAAGGTGTTCGAGATATGATAAAGTAGCATTTGCAATTTTACTGCGTTGTTCATTATCTGCAACATCTTCGACATTACCGTGAACATCTCCCTCATTTGATGCGCTGCCAGAAATTCCAATTATTATATACCGTACTTTGTTCTTAAACTACAATTTTGAGATATAAAATGGTGTCATACTTGCTAGCTCTTTGACCTAAGAGTATCAGGAGCACTTGTATTCCACCCACAATACTAGTTTCTACTTTTTCTCCTGTTAAAATAGTCTCTAATAATAGGCTCACAGTTTCCCCACTGCAACAAAATATTTATTGCTTGAATATTAATGTAAAAAAATAATTGATTCTAATTTACTCAAATGTTTACTTACGATTCTAGAGTATTTAAAATAGGATCTGGATCGGTACGTTCCGTGGATGTACGTTGGTTTTCTCTAGCTACCGTCACCATGTCGCAAAGTAATTGCGCCGCATTAGCATGTTTGGCTGCTTCTGAAGTAGGTGCTAACAACTTCACCAGCCTTTGCACTAAGTGTTGACTATCTAACCACTATCAGAGAAATAAATAGTTGCATAATACGTTCCAGTAAAAACTAGAATAATATTTGCTGAAAATATCTTACATTCAATATGTTTTGACGCATTTCACTGCCCTCGACCTGAGTAACAAGTTTCAGTACTAAGTCCATAATAGCAGAAGTCTCTAAATGTTGCAACAACAAATCTACACATCTCTGGCGGCTTTTAAGAAATTCTAAAACCTGTAAGCATGTGAACTGATAGGAATACCAATTCTGGAATAGATGGAAATATATAGGATGGATAGATATGCGGATAGCATAGGAGAGGCAAGAGAAAAGATAATTTATTATTTGACTAATATTATTTGCTAATAGTTTTAAATGATATTAGCCTCAAAGGAAATTACTGCAATAAAGTGCAACTGACTTGTTTTATCAAAGTATATATTATATAAATATGTATCTTTTACATGAAAATAAGAAACATGCATAATTACCTGATCACTTTTACGAGCAACAAGCACTCCGATAGTTTTACTGAAAAATGATGCAAGTAGTGGATTTAATGGCTGATCTGTATCTATGAAAGAATATAATTTGGCCAAAAGTGCTTCATCACCTAAAAAAAAAATTTGAGAATATACAATTTACAAAATTCATACAATTCTGCAACTAAATATTCTCTGTTTATTGAATATATAAGACAGTACCTGCCAGTTTCTCATTTAATGTAGGCACATCACACGTGAGCAACTCGCAGGCAACATTGGGATACTTATAGCGCCAACGCTCTTCAATGTCCGTAGATGGTTCTTTAGTGGTCAATGTCACTAATTCTTCCATAACGGCCGGCCTTGTGAGACTATCAATTAAACATATTATGATAATATTTATCTTGTGACAAACACTAAATCAGCATATTTAGAGCACAAACTTGAATCTGACAAGAAAATAAAACAGCAATATTTGGACTCACTATTCGACCAGCTTCTTGTTCTGGCTCTTGCATTCTTGTAGAATATCTTCCTCATCCATCAACTCATGCAACGTGACATCCTGCAAGCGCAAATTAGACATCGTGTAACGACGATAGTTTAAGATGAGTTAAGAAAAATGGAGAGGGGGCGAGAGAGGGGAGAGCAGAACGAGGAAAAACGTTCGGGGGCGGCGAGGGGGGATCACACTTGCCTCTTTGTTGAGCAATGCCTCGATATGCGGCGATGACACGTAATTATTCGTCCAAAACATGGTGCTGCCGTAAAACGCTTGCTGCTAACTGCGCCTGGTACAACACTCAAATATCGCGATTCACCGAGGGCGAACGACCGATTCACATCGGCGCGGCGCGATGGCGCACGCACGGGGAAGTAACGATAGTAGAATACGTCGCGCAAACTTGCTCGGCCGCTGAGCGGCTAACATCGCACGTAACGCGTATATCGGTCGTCCCGTTGATTCTCTTCCGCCGCGCTGCGGCCGCGCGTATTCACCGTCGCGTCACCAACGTCGTCGCTACCTCTAAACTATCACTACCTCTTCGCGATCACCGTTTACCACCTCCTCGAGCACCCCGTAGTCGTTTCGAGTGAGCGACGTATGCGACTCCCGTGATTCCGAACACAGTTATCGTCGTTGGACAATGATAACAGCTCCGGAACGTGGAGCACGAAACGAGTACAGTTGAACGCTCTCGAGCGCGAATAAATGCGCAGGCATAGAATATGACGTGCGAGAAGTGTGAAAACTCATCTCTTTCGTACGGCCTTTCTTTCTTCAGAAGTCTGTTCTTTTTTAGCATGCGAATAGATAAGATATATCATGCAAGATGTCGCTGTAGTAGAAGAATTCTAGCTGTTTCAACACTTCGAGCACTATACTTGACTAGTTAATGCTAGTTGAAGAGCGGCTTTAACTGTCCGCCACGAAGATATTTTCTCAAGCCACGTCAAAATATACAAAATTAAAAAAATGGCAAGTATAAATTGTTATTTTTTATGTAATAAATAACGGTAATTCTTTCATAAGCTCTTTTAAAATTTGTAAAAAGATTTCAAGAAAAAGGTTATATATAACCTCAAGTTAATTAAATTCCATCTTTATGTGCCGCTAGAGAGAGTAATACTAAAATACAAAAAAAAAATAGTAATAACAAAATTATATTCCAATTGATTTCAACTGTTTGATTATGTTTAGGTGGAAATCGAGTCGATGACGAGGTATGTCTCACCGGTGAATCCAGCTGTCTTTCCACTGCTGGCTATAGTGCTATTAGGAATCGGAGTATTCTTCACAGCGTGGTTCTTTGTGTACGAAGTCACCAGTACGAAATTTACACGAGATATATTCAAAGAATTATTAATCTCCTTGGTCGCAGCGATATTCTCTGGCTTTGGAGTGTTATTCTTGCTGCTCTGGGTTGGAATTTATGTATAGGTAATGCCAAGAAATATCCATATTTGTTACTTTCATACGAAATACAAAAATTATATAAATGTCTTGATGTGTTTGTTTCAGCTTAAGTTAATTAAAGAAAGATTATAAATTACTTAATGGTACTGAGCTCAGATTAGAAGGGAGCTTACATTCCATCTAAGATTTTATTACCGTCAACATACGGTGGAATAAATGCAACTCTAAGTATTTTTTATATCATACACAAATTTATTCATTCTTTATCACAATGAAGGCATGAAGTTCTTAGCGCAGGTACACAATGACTATTGTGGCACCTTGAGAAAATAAAGGCTCGTAGTCGTTTGCCACGAATACATAGTGTGACTAATCTAATCATGCAATAATATAGGAATAATATAGCTCTATGTGAAAAGAAGAATTATCATTTATCTTTTCTTTTTTCGTGCAATAATTACTGTATCCGCATCAAATATGTGCATTTTATTAAACATTTCTTTATGTAAAACTGTTCTTCTCATTACTTCAAGGAGAAGAATGCGGCGTTTATTGTCGATAAAATGATCTTGTGGCAAAAATTATATATGTTCCATTTTCATTGTTCTTATGAAATATTTTGTAATATAAAATGGAATATTGCAAATTGCTTTATCTTTCTAAAACAATGTGTACAAGGAACATTCTTTTAACCGACCAGACCAGCTTTTTGTCGACATCTTTGCATTAACGCTCTTAACATAAATTGTCTGCGTGACAATTGGCGTACTTGCTTGAGAAACGCATCCAGATCTATAATGCCGGATCGTAATCCCTCAGCAAGATAATAAATAGCGTCCTCTGTGGCCGCCTCTTCAGCAAATGCGTTTAACATCCTAAAAATGACAAAGTGACATTAGAATCGAGCGTTCATTAGTAATTTTTCATAATTTTTCAATTATAATTGTTAAGTTTAAGTGAATCTATTTTATCGTTAAATTTATACTTACTGTTTATATAATGGCGCTATAGTAGTGACAGCTTCATCGACATCTATCGACTGATTATCGGACAATTTGGCGATCTCCTTCTCCAGCTCTGCCTCCTTATCTTGTAGGATATTCACATTTTTCTCGAGCTCCTGCTTCTCCCTCTTGAGTTTCTCGAATAGATCTGCCAAATGTGAGGAACCGCTTGTCAGCTCTTGCTGTGTTCGCCGCAACGTCTCGAGCTCTGCTTGCAACTGCGAGAATTGCTCCTTCAGCCGACGCCGCAATTTATCCTCCACTGCAGATAGCAAGGATGCTCGTATGTGTTCCTCTGTAATTGTGCCAGATCCACCGGAAGCAGGCTGCACCGTCGGCGACTTAAAAAAAATATTGATAAATCTCTCTCTCTTAATGCGATTTAATCTCAAATAAATTATTGATTACTAATTAGTGTAATACTAATTGGAAATAACAATTAAGCTTTGCAGGCTTTTTAACCAAACATTGTATAGGTTAACATAAATAATCATATTTGTGATACCGGTTGTGTGGCTGGTGGATACGGCGGATATGAACCACTGTAGCCTTGTGCCGGATAACTGGGAGTGGTTCCAGCGTAAGAACTGTAAGAGCCAGGATATGGAAATCCACCAGATGCTGTAGATGGATACGGTGGATACACATTGCTGCCGCCGGAGTACTGAGAATTTGATGGATATGGTGGAAAGCCGGAACTCGATACGCTTCCACCACCAGGTACAGGCATGAATGCTGTAGATAAAAAAGATTTATATATAGTTAGGTTACAAAAAAGTATTAGATTGAAATAAAAAATTAAATCGCTCAGTAAAATGCACTTACATTGAACAGGATATGGTGTAGAACTCTGTTGCATTTCTGATCTTGACTTAGCGTAGACTGGAGGCTGTTCTCCAAAGGTGACAATCATTACTTGAATTAGAGAAAGCAAATCTGAATTATGCTGCAAACAAAGGACATAAATATCAGATTGTTATACAAATTATTGCACACTGTTAATGATTGCCAGTAAATATACTCACAGGTACCCAATCGTGGAGGTAAGGCAAATAGATTTTACCATTGTGATCAACAAACATACTGACTTTGATATGCATATCTGCTGTTGGTTTAACATAGCACATAGGTGCATTATTGGGATGTGTGTCCATCACCCATATGCATATAGGAATATTATAACAGGTACCTATATAAAAATGAGCAAATCAAAAACGACATTCAATAGTTTTCCTGTATAATTAATATACATATTAGCAACCACTTTCTCAAAATTACCTTTATAAACAACCGGTATGGTTCCTTGTAAGTTGAGTAGTTCCTTGCGAGAGCCATCATTGAAAACTGTTATTGAATAGCAAGTTAGTTTGAATATTGAAATATAATATATTTCAAGCAATTTTCCTTACCAAATGGTTCAACTTCAAATATCAAGCCTTTATAAATACTCAAGACCTTTGTCATGTGTTTCTTTGTTATATCTGGATTTTGGTACTGAAAAGTGAGAGGTATTTTTGTATCAAAAAAACCACCACAGTGATTATTCATTAATGATTCTTATAATGGTGGTTAAAGCCACAATTTTGCATACCTTGGATAATCCTTGCCTAAATCTTCCTTCCTCCAGCGGTGTCATGTTCACTGTTTAATCTAGTTGACTTAAAACAGCAATAAACCTTGTTAGCGTTATCAGATGCACGTAATCGCGTTTTCCAATTTACACAATCGTGATGATACAATAATACGCGATCATCGAGCGTCTCGTTTATGCTTACGTTACCATTGAGCGACGTAGGAGTTTCGCACGTATGACAGAGTCATCAAATTTGCGAATCGTTCACTAAATCTGTCATGAGAAATGTCATTGTAAACCATCATGAATTATGGAGGATTCATATTGCATTGTTATCGCAGAAAAATTACAAAATTTTCTTTATAATTTTGCAACGCTAAAACGTTAAAGTCTCTATAAAGTACGTTTTCCTATTGGATGACAAATGGCGGGTATATTTATCGTATTACTGCAAGCATATCATTCGTGTGTATATACCTTCATACATCGAATATTGGACAGTGTCAGTTCTCAAATCGATTCGATTGTCGTTCACTCATCGACAGCATAAGAAGAGAAGCATCAAAAGTTTGTGAAGTAGTGATAGAATCCGTCAAAGTACTGATATAAATTCAAAGACAGATTGTTGTTAAAGTAGTTTTTTTGTAAATCCACCAGAGAGAAGAAGAAGAAGAAGCGTTGACGATTTTCACGGTAATCTTCATTCGATTTTAAGTACAATCTGTTTGGCATGGTCTATTTTTCGTAACAAATTTCAAAACAGAATTCTGTTTCTATGTAATTTTATATGCTTTGTAATACAGAACATCCATATAAAACATTTAAAAAAATTAAAACTTGCGTATATGTACGTAACACTAATATATATTTCATAGTTCGTGTATCCTTTGATGTACAAAATGTTTCTTGTATTACACATAAAATTATAAATAGAATACTATCGCGTATTGTGTCGTGCATTATAGATGGTTTAAAGCGAACATCATAATTTAGCGCATATATATTGATTCATTCGCGACAATATAAATATTTAGCAGAAATATATCATTTTGACAGGTAATATATATGAAGTCATTAATTTTACATTATCGTGCACGTTTTTGCTGATCTATGCGACAGACATTGTTTAATGATACATGAGTATCTCTAGTAAAAACATCACACATTAATCGATTAATTTCTTTTTCCAACAGAGAATATTAATTTTCTACAATGTACATCTAATAAAAATCAATTTATAATTAAAAAAATATAATATATAAAAATTATCTGCTAAATTCGAATTTCTTCTCAAAGCTTATTATTTTTTATGCTTAAATATTTTTTTTCAGTTATCAGTCTTTCTAAGATTATCAAATCGTTTAATCTTATCTTTTCATTAGATGACAAATTCACGATAAACTAGGTATATAAATATGATAATACTATTTTATCTTTTATATGTTTATTTGTTCTTCCCCCGCGTATACAATATATTATATGTGATACACACAATATGTATATGTGTGGACCACATGTAATACATATTGTTTTATTCGTGTATCTTTTATCCTTTACTTTTTGAGCACCCAATGCATTCGCTTATATGGCGGGTTCAAATAGGCTAATGTCCGGGTGGGTAGGGTTGAGGCAGGTTATGTCGGAAACAGGTGTGCAACTGGTTCTGATCTTCTGCAAATAATCTGCAAAACAGATGTGATCTACGTCACATCCTTGTCGTGACACATATTCTGGAGATCCTCGTTATCAAGACGATGAAGACAAAATTTTAGCGCGACGACGAAGCAATGTCGTTGCGACATGCATACGTGAGCTGTGACGTCGAGGAAGGTTAAGTGATGAGATCAAAAAGACGAACAGCCAGCTCGTCAATCGACTTGTGTCGAGTTAGCGAAAGTTATTAGTATTTCTTCTTTTTCGCAATAACTCTACTTTCCTTTAATTTTTAAATTACTCTAAATTGTTTTAAGATATGCATTAGAAATGATTCTTTTGCTAGTACTAAATTTTTTGTTTTTGAATTTTTTATGATTAACAAAGTTTTTTAGTAATACAAGTATTAGAAATTATGTATACTAAAAAATAATTTTTATTGTTATGCAAACATTGAGATGAGTTACTACACTCATTCTTTTGTATTTTTATTAATAAAATGATTCAGAAACCAATATTACAAAACTTGAGAAAAATGTCGAAAATTTAACAGATTGACTGTCGTGATGGTTATCATTAATAACCGGCACTATCAATTTTTAAAAAATATTTAACAAAAATATGTAATAAATAAATGTCATCAAAATTTTGAATAAAATTAATAACTAGATAATATCTAAATAATAATGTAAAGTAAAAAGTGTGCTATTCAGTAATTAATATTTTGTATTAATACATATTATATTACAATTATGAAAAAGTGGTTACGAAAATGGCTATCAGTGAGATAAACACTATTGATAAAAAATGTGATTTCTTATATGCGATTTATATACTTATCATTATATACTTATGATAAGAATTTAATTTGGCATACATGGTAAAGCATACCAAATTGCTGTTAAATGATATGAGTGAAAGATTTGCTGAGTAAATTTGTTTTAAAGCTCAAAATACATAGAAACATTGGAATATTAAGTTTTTATTGGTAAAGATGTTTTTGTTTGCATATTTATATATTTTTAAATGCCAAGTGATGTGTTTGGTTTATGCACAAACGACAATTAGTGATTAATTTTTATTTTTTTCTTATAGATAAATGACAGCAACTTCCAGAAGATACTTTCGAGGCTGGTCTTCCTGTTCCCTCAAAATATGGATGCAATCATGTAAAACTTAGAGGCTTATAGGAGAAAGATGACGCATTTTACAGCTTTGACTCCAGTACGGAAACGATGTTTGATCTTGCTGCTGGTAGTTCTGCTGCCGTGCGCTATTCTGAACCTGCTAACGCCGTCGGACATGCGCGAGGAAACTGTGCTGCAGAACAGCATTGCGGAGCTGCAGGCCAAGCTAGAGCATTTGCGTGCCAAGTACATCGGCAGCCAGGAGGAGATAAACCTACTCTCGCATCAGTTACTTCAGCTGATCGAGAGCAATCACATTCTGCCTGATCTGCAGCTACTCATCAACAATGGCACTTCCAACATCACCAGCATCAAGCTGCCCTCGATCTACAACTTCCTGCCGCACTTTCTTAACGATCCAAACAGCCTACGTCCGGCGTTTGTGCAGAGCAGAGGTAGATCAGGGGTTAGCATGGTGCTGGGGGTGCCAACAGTGAAGCGTGAGGTCCAGTCCTACCTTATGGCGACCCTAAAGAACCTGTTGGATCGTATGAACGCCACAGAGACCGCGGACACGCTGATCATCGTTTTAGTAGCTGAAGTGAGTGAAATCATTGATTATAAAAGGATGTCAAAGCTGTTCGCGTTTTCTATTCATGAATTAACAAACATATACATGTATCTTTTTTCAGACAGATCTAGATTATGTGACGTACGTTGCAAAGCAAATTGAAGTGCAGTAAGTTTATGATTGAATTTACATTTTTATTCTATTAATTTTTTATCTATCACATATTAATATATTTTGTTTTAGATTTCCCATCGAATGCGAAGCTGGCGTGATCGACGTAATATCGCCATCGGCGTCTTACTATCCGGACTTATCGAGATTGCGCGACACTCTCGGCGACGATCATCAACGTGTTGTTTGGCGATCCAAGCAAAATCTGGACTTTGCCTTCCTAATGTCGTACGCGAAGACGAAAGGCACATTTTACGTACAATTAGAGGACGATATCCTAGCTAAAAAGAACTTTATAACTACCATGAAGTCTTTCGCATTGCAGAAGATTGGCACAAAAGAAAATTGGTTTGTTCTCGATTTCTGTCAGCTCGGCTTTATCGGTACGACATTATTATATATTATACATATTAAAATACATATTAAATGATTGAAGACATGAAAATACATATTAAACAATTTATGAATAACTTTAATATAGGAAAACTGTTCAAATGTGTGGAGTTGCCTTGGCTGATTCAATTCTTTTTAATGTTTCACAATGATAAGCCTGTCGATTGGCTTTTGGACCACTTAATATCAACAAAAGTTTGCAGTCTTGACAAAGATAACGTAAGTATAAACGAACAGAATTGAGCTATTTAATAAGTAAAACAAATTTTTCAAAGAAATCCATTTTTCTTTCGGCAGAAACATTGCAAAATGGCTAAAGCAGAATTATGGGTGCATTACAAACCCTCCCTTTTTCAACACATAGGAACGCATTCCTCTTTAAAGGGAAAAGTGCAGAAACTTAAGGTAATGTTGCTTATTCAAAAAGGCTAAAAAGAAATACAATTGTGACAGCACCGATTGTATAATATTACGAATTATGTTTATTTAGGACAAACAGTTCGGCAAGATCACGCTGTTTTATGCCCACGAGAATCCCGAAGCGATCGTGGAGACTCAAATCAAGCCTTATAAACAGTACACACTGCAGAAAGCATACAAGGGCGAGTCGTTCTTTTGGGGCCTGCTACCGCAGCCGGGCGACCATTTAAGATTTAAATTTTCACATCCTATTTTTATAAAGAAGTAAGTAGCCATATAGCAGAATCGTCAATCCAGGCGGGAAGATTATCTTTCATGATTATCTTGCACGCAGGTACTTATTCAGGAGCGGAAATCCTGAACACCCGTCTGATAGGTTTTACAACACAACGGTAGAAGTATTAACCGAAATGTCACAATTATTAGACAGGAACAGCAACGACGTGACGGAGGATGGCTATGTTGTTATAGGTAAGAAATTTCTGCGTTCATATTCTGCGTGTTTATCGAATTTAACAATTGCGAGTGTTTGTTGAAAAATATCATATGTGAATTAGGTAAGTTCGATGTACTTGGCATTGCCGAAGGGACCGTGGATCGAAGACTGGGTAAAATATCGGTCCTTCGTTTAACTATACACAGTGAGAGTGAAAATTGGGCTATTCTGTCTGAGGTAAGAATTCCCGATAAATAATAATAAGTTAAAATTGTAACACTAATGTGCTTTTCATCATTTTAATGTATTTAATATAATGTGTTTTGTTTCCTAAACAGATCCACATAGTAGAGGATCATCCTAGCTGACTAAAGGACGAAGAAGCTCGAGCGTTCTTTCGGTACCATCTGCACGGTTAGTATAAGTGGCTGGTTTTATAAATGTTTACTATTTTTATATATTTCATTTCGCTCTCACACTCGTTATTATACATTGAGTAGATCGATGCTGCAGTTATTAATTTATACCGTCCATTTTAAGGAGTTGAGTATGCTTTAACCGTTTGTGAGTGCGCGATCGCGCTTCTCCTGTTTCACAAGTGCCAGCGAAACCCACCGATTCTCAGGAAGTTAAGTTAACCTTTCAGTTGTATGAGAAATGAAGAATGTGCATTAAACTGTACAGCCGTCTCACAAGAATTATATTGTGAAATATTAAGTTGATCAGTGAGACGAAGGAAGGAAGCATTTTACTTGGCACTTTTCGCACGCATTTTTGCATCCGCCTTTAACACTCAAACGGTTAAAGTATTAACGACTGAAGCGAAAGCGGTTTTTCCAGATCGATCGAACGTTTTGTATCTTTTTTAATGACTGTGTTTGCGAAAATGTAAAAGTCAAGTGACAATATAATGACTTTTCGCTAGTAGTTTTGCGAACATTGTTTAACGCGAATGTACATAATGGTACATAATAGTATAATTGCTTAACATATTTTTTGCTTTCTGCAAAACTGTATCTTAGTTGAGAGCATTTGTTTAACTAGAACTGTACCTGCATTGTTCGTGTGTTTTGATTCGCTCTCTTGCTAATTTTTCACGTATAAACTCTTCGCACACACAGTTCGTGACTCGCCTTCACGTTTAGACAAATACGATCATTTAATTCTCCTTGTTATTGATAAAGACATTGATTATATCAATCTTTATAAATCTTTTATAGTATGAAGTCTATAATGCTAAAGTCTTTATATTGTAAGAAATAATGTTTGGACCCGGAGGGTCATATATGACACAAAATTTGACGCTAGGTGAAGATACGTGTGTGAATGCAAATATATTAAAAGAGAAGCTATATGAGAATTTTATCTATCAGCAGGAGAAAGCGAATTTTGCGAGACGAGATATATATTTACGTGATATATGTATAATCCACATATTTATGTACAATCTGTATACAGTGTAATTTATTATTGTCAAATGTATGATGCGTGAATGTGAACTCGTATGTTTGTTAAACGACTGACAAACAAACGCGGTGATACGAAAATTATATTCTTCTAATGTATGTACAAGTATTTATTTCATGTAGCTTTATATATGTTTGTATATGTGTATACAGGGTACACACACGCACGCACGCGCGACTCATCGTTCTGTATATAAAATTGTTAAGGTGAGATAATCAAAGAGTAAAGTCCAACGCACAGTAGAGAAAACATTAGGATTAGAAATAAATATCAAATATTAGAAAGAGCAATTTGGAATAATTTATTTCAAACAAGAGAACGAAATGTATTAATTATTTCCAATTCTTAATCTTTGATTCACATGATACGTTAATACATTCCATTTTCTTGTTTTGAAATGAAATATTTCCAATTTCCTGTTTTTAATATTTAATATTTATTTCTATTCCTAATATCTTCATTGCGTTGGAGAACTGTTGCGAGATATTTTTATATTTTTTATTCGGATATATTTTGACATAATTCTGTTAAATCAAGCCATGTATATTCATCTTGAATAACATTACAATGTTTATTACGCTGCATAATAATGTGAAAACTTACCACTCCAACAACTTTTGTGAATCATTATTATATTCACAATAGAATTCAGTTGGAGTTGTTAAACGTAAGTTGTATTTATTACATCTGTCTCCTTCGTGAAATACAAGGGAATGGCTATCGTAGTTAGAACACACCTTGTATACATATACATACATACACACATACATACACACACCTATGTACTTCTATTATGTACATAGCAACAATAAAACTATATTTTTCTGACAAAATGTTACATATATAAGAAAAATTGATGCGTTATGTTAACTCTTTTACTATCTCTTCTCTTACAATCTGTACAAAATTTTTGACTGGAAATATAAACAGAGTTGTTTTATTGTTCAGATTTTGATTAGAATGGCATTGAAACTGGAACTAGATAGAGATTATGCGCCCCGGAAATAATGTTACGACCGTATGTCCCAGTTATTTTCTCAGGGTAACTAACGCTCTATACGGTTTGGGACCGCCCGTGACACTATCGACGAACTCCTGCGTGGATGGTTGCGGCTCGCCGGGAACCACGGAAAAAGTGAACGCTTGCAGCAGGGCAGCTGTTATGACAAAGATGTTGCTTTTAGCTAACACCTCTCCCAGACAGCGGTGTTTGCCTGTAAGATGTAAATCATTTTGCTCACTGTTGCGTTCATAATATTTATTTATTTATGTATTATAGCAGTTTTATAGAAAAAAGAAGAAGACATTACCGATACTGAAAGGGAAGTATTTTTCTGGTGTAACAATGTTGTCATTGCTGTCGAGGAATCTCTCCGGCCGAAAATTTTCTGGATCACCCCAGGACTCGTCCATGAGCACCCCGTCGAAATTCACAATAAGCATTGTGTCCTGAAAAAGGCAATAGTTTTTATTTTCTTGATTTATTACTTGTTTATCATTCATTAATTATTTATTACTTTTTTATCATTCATTAATTATTTATTACTTTTTTATCATTCATTAATTATTTATTATTTGTCATCATTTTTAAACTTATTTTTTGTTAATTAAATTTTACCTTTGGTATTTTATGGCCGTTAATATAAGTGTCTCTCAGGGCTCTATGTGGAACATTCAAGGTGCGGCTCATGAATATCCTAATAGTCTCCAAGACGACAGCTTGGACATATGGCATTCTGGAAAAGAAGAATAAAATTGTGGAATTATCTGTTCTGCTCTCAATCTGTAATTATTTGGGCGTGTGAAAACGATTAACGACATTTACTTGGATCTATCGGCCAACGTGGGAAATCTGTCGCCGAGGACTCTGTCTAGTTCTTCCTGCGCTTTCCTCTGAACATGCGGGAACAATAACAGGTACAAAAATCCAAAGCCGAGTGCTTTTGATGTCGTTTCGGAACCAGCTATGAAAAGATCGACGCAGATCCCCAATAGCTGAGATTCTGAAATTTTGTTGAATCTTGTTAGCAATAATGTTATTTGCGCGCGCGCGCAAATTGTATATTTCTGTACCTGAGAATGTCTTGCTGTAATCTTTCGAATCTAGCACAGTCAGGTAGACATCCATCAAATCTCGCGGCGCGCTTGGTATGAATGTGTTCTTATGATTGTACAATTCCTCCTGAAAAGAAATCATTGATCTTCAATAATTATCCTCGCTCGTCGAGACACTTGTCTATAAAATGATCCAGTGATATATTAGTGCGATGATACGCTTATGTGTACATCCGCTCACTTTCAAGAATGTCCACAACTCTTGGTGTGTTTCTACAAACAGTTTGTAGCCCGACATTTCCGGCGCGATGAAGCGCAACAGTGGAAAGTGACTGAAAGGCGCGCCGATCATGTCGATCTCCTCCAGGAGCTTCGTTAGGATTCGCTGTAGGTACTTGAGCTGCTTGTCGTCGGTGTCAAATCTATTCAGGAATTGTTCACATTATTGAAGAATTAATTCTTAACATGTATTTTCCAGATTTATAAATATCCCGAAACAATTTGGACGGACCTTTTGCCAGCCATCATCTGCCAGAGTGTGTTCAGAACGGTCACACCGAACGTGTCGTTCATAGACACGATCACGCCCGTCGATTGGGAGAGTTTCTTGATGTCCGTGTAGTCTTCAACCTTCATGTACAAATCCGCCGCCGTCTGAGTCTTGCGAGTGGCAGTTTTCTCCTCGATCACGCCGAATTTGTCGCACAGCTGCGACTTGTCCTTCAGTTTATCCTTCGGGTCCTTCTGCAGCTTATATATTTGACCGTTGTTTTTCACCATTGTCGTATTCGCCGTCATAAGTTTTCGGGCATTAACGATCCCGTAGCCGTCCTGCAGCAGTTTTTTGAAATGTTCCACCAACATCAGAGCCTCGTTTTCGATGATCGTGGCCATGCTGTTGCGACCGAAGCCGAACTCCTTCAAGTGCCGCAGGACGAATCGCCGTTGCTCCACCCACAGCTGCCCGTCTACAACGATGAGACCTGATCGCAAGCCATTATTCGATTATATTTCTCGAAACTCGCGGAGTGATTCGTTTTACTTTCTTTTTTTTTTCAAGCGGGTGATTTTACCTCGTCTGGCGCCCCAAGTTCTCGCCTCGTACAGAGGTCCGGTCGGCCGACCGTCGCAATCCTCGTTATTCAACATCGCCCGTATGTTCTCCAGATCGTTCAGGACAACAATGCGATCCGTGCCGATCTTTAGACCCACCACGGGCCCGTACTTCTTGCCTAGCGCCGAGCACGTTTTGCAGAGATATTTGGTCTCCTGGCGGAGACGCGCTACTTCTAATGCACAGCCTAGAATAGGCCACCATTTTGGACCTGGGAGGATAATAAAAAGTATCAGTTATAATTTAGAAGAAATTGCTTAAGAAGAATAGGATTGCCCACCTGGCGGGTATCCTTTTGGTTTGCGACAGCTTGTATATAATAATAATAGCAGTGTTAGCACCAGCAACACCATCGTCGTGGCGAGCATCTTGGAAATTTAATCTACAACAGATAAATGAAATATTCAGGTATTAAAAAAGAGATAAAATTAATATGCCAAATGTATATTGAAAAAAATTAAATGGCTAATAATTTATCATGAAACTAGTTTATGAATTTGTAAAATTGTGAAATTTTTTAGTTTGGATATGCGCATATTTATATAAATATACGCATAACATGCTAATATGCTTACGGCTAACGTGACAAACGAGTTTCGAGAAGAAAGTGAAACACTTGTAGTACTCTCATGAGAGAAAGTTGTACACGGAAAAATCGACGCGCAAATACACCGGTCACTTATATTATCCCATAACGCGTTGCGTAATCGATGCACTCTTAACTTTTTATTATATTTACAAGGTACTTGTTGTGGTCGCTTTCGAATTCCTGTCTGAAATCTACTCTGAAATTCGACTCGATATCAATCTATTTCTCGTAGTAGCATTATCGCGACACACACGATGCAGATAATATAATTATAGCGAATACTTTTTTACATATTTTTTAATTTTGATTTTTAAATTATGTTAAGATATCCAGATTGGAAATTAAATTAAATTGGATATAAAAAAAATATTAAATTAGATATAAAATTTAGAAAAAAAATATATAAAATACTTTTAAATCAAATTAAACCAATAATTTTAAACTTGATGACTGTAACTCGTTCTACTCTAATACTTATTTTTATAATCTTCAGATTCCAGTAAATTTTGTGGATTAGATTGTAGCAAGTATTTTCAAGATGAAGTATCAAGCAAAATAGAGAAAACTATGTTACGTGCTCATTGTTAAACATGCTGCAAGAAAGCTACACAATACCAGGTAAAATCCACAATATAATACATTCTCTTCTCGGATCTTTAAATTTATCTTACCTTGCACCTGGAGAAATTTTCTCGTCTGTTGTATAAGCGAAACTGGCCTGTGGACCAGCGTTCAGTCCGCTTTTAAATGCCCCTCTTCATCCCATGCGCTTTTTACAATCTCGATATGAGTGGTTCAGTATCAGAGTGGCCTAAGCGACAATTTCTTCGAAATAAGATATTAATGTCCAAAGTTGGACCAAAAAAAAAAGCGAAAATCAGAAAGGTATAAAAGTTATCAAAAATTAAAAACGAGAAAATTAAAAAACAACGAGATAAAAAGTACCAATCAATTACATATTATGAGTATCAATGCAATGCACTGATATACGTGATGTACCCTTAATTTAACGTTAAATTAAAATGAGAAAAGTGGCAAATTGTAGAAAATTTTGAGATAGTAAAATCGAGATAAATAATAAAATTTAATAGCAAAGGTAAACTATTATCTATATTCTAAAATAATTATAAAAATGCAATACAAGGATTGAAAACGCTTGAAGAAAGTATTATGTTAGAATTTTTTTTACTTTTATTTTTCTTTTCATTATGAAAACGAGTCGCACTTTTTAAATATTTTTATTAAGTTTAAGAAATAGGCATATAGTAAAAGACAACAGCAAGTTACACACTTTATTACTTTAACGAAACTTTATTTCCTTATTCTACAGTAGTTGTTTCATTAGTTGTTTCTACATTAATTGTGTCATTTCCTAGGCTTTCCTGCTGCTGATCATAGCGCAAAGGTAATCTGTCACCCCATTCGCTGCATCTCGCGGTGCGATAGATATGCCTGGCGATAAAAGATTCTCATATAATCGCCGTGCGCTCAAACGTTCGACGAAATTTTATACCTACTTTCCATTCTTATATTTTGTGAAGATGTCCTCCTTCAGCTCGCCGCTGGCGACGCACATGCGACAAATCGTGTGTTGGGAACGATTCAATACTGATCGCACGATCCGCGGCCACTGTTCGTCGTCCTCAGGACGTTTGCCTGCAAAGAGAAATACCTTTCTAAAAAGGTTGCATTTATACTGGAATATTGCGTAACGGTGAAACTCTTTCCACAGTTAATACAGATAAGCAGTTTTTATCAAATTATTTGCACTTCACAATTTGAAGTAACAACTCTGTCCCTCAGTGTTACTTTTATGTATTTGTTTTATATATTTTTTCCTTATATATTTTTATATTTTACGTATATACTCTTTCTTCACGTACTTTTCTTCAAGACGACATATGAGTAGAGTTCGGACTTGTGATTAGAATTGTCCATAATTCGCAATGGATGATACAGAACACTGAAATTGCACGGAGTATCGTCTGTGGCGAATCTCGGACACTTCAAATCGTGCGGACACTAGATTACGACAATGACAAAAAAGATACAATTGGTGCATCGCGTTTGGAATCGTCTGTTCTTATTCTAATCGATACTTACAGGTGCAAAAACGTGAGCGAATTGCGTGTCCCGTCTATTTTTCGAATTCACATACTTGAGGATGAAATCTCGCGCTTCATTCACTAGCTTCCGGAAAAAAAATTGGGATAAAAGAATGAGATAATTCTATAAACGAGATATAAATGCGGAACTGTTGAACATGTTTACCTTAAAACCCGCATTTGTTCCTTGCTCTACAATGATCAGGTAGTTTTCAGTTTTTTTCCAAAGATCTAATATCGTTTCGAGACGCGTATTCACATTCGGCAATTCGAATAAAGAATGCGCGCTCACCACGATATCATGAGGCTAAAAGTAACAATAGAAACATTTCAAATCGGCACTTAGTCATCTAAAATTTCGATGTGTAATGTTTTACAAATATATTTCTTACATTTACAGACATGGGAAAATATTGACGATAGAAAATGTTTTTAATTTTAGGTGTAGCAGCTTTCGCTAATCTTTCTGACAGTTCAATCATTGATTCCGATACGTCGACACAAAGATATTCCTTCAGCGAATCCGGCCAGATTTCGGACGCTGCCCTGTGGAACATTTTTGTCTTCTCATTACGTCGATCAATTGTACATTATCTTTTTTAAATCAGCTTTTATACTAACCACATGACTGTACCAGTGCCAGAGCCAAAGTCGAACAATGTTTTGGGCCTGAAATCTTTGTCGCGTACTTTGATCTCATTTAGAATTTTATATAAAACTGTGTAATTCTGTACACTTCTGCCAACCAGGTATGTGAGACAAGTGAGCTTATCGAAAGTTATCGGTTGCCAGTTATAAACGTTTTGCTTCAAAATATTCCTAGCTATTCTGTTCTTACTGAAATCTATGTCTTTAATCGATATCTTCTCTCCATTGTTATTAGCATTTAAACGTTCTTCTACTTTTTGTAACTTTGCTGAAAGTTTAGATTGCTCTAATGGTAGAAGACGGCCATTCAAGTGGCAGATTAAGTTCTTTGCACTTTCTTTAATTTCTTTTGATTTTATCTGTTTTTCTACAAATATTATGAAATAAGAGCATGATTAAAAATGTTCCATAACTATTTAAAAAACTGATAATAACGATATAATTCTGTACCTTTCAAAATAATTTGTATTTCTTTTAATGCCCAATTTGGAAACTCTGGAGTTTTAGGTTTGATGATGCCCGGATGATGTCTATATTTTATTTCATCATTAGACGAATCAAATGCTGTATCATTAAGTACAGGCTTTGATTTGGCTGAAAACTGAATGCAGATTGTTGCCACATTAATTCCATTTAATAATCTAAATATAGAGTGCCCAATAATACTTACACATCGTGTAAACCTTGCACAATGCACTCTTGGTACAATTAGCTTCACCATGTTTGCGATAAAAGTATTATTACAATTCAACGATCACAGTTCGCATATTCCTCATCAAAATCTTCGAAAATCTGTGCAAGACACAAGAAAATATACTAGAAAATCTATACATCTACACGTAACATTTTATTACAGATCTACCACGTGGATCACAAATTGTTTACAATGTGCTGAATCTTCAAAAAATTGTTTATTCACAAGACTTTTCGATGGAGCTTATGCACAGCGTACACAACGACAATTTGCAATATATGTAACAAGGTTACAAAAAAGTTTTAATCATTACACCCGGTTCTCGAAGTGACCGAACACGGACTGTCAGGCAACATAACCTGCGAACATGCGTATGTGTGTACAAACATGCGTCGTCTGGCTTTAACTTGCCGCTCCAAAAATAACTGGCTATGAATCTGTTCGCGCGTATGTCAACTCGATTGCACGCCGAGCCGTCGCATAATCGTTGACACTTCCTCCTCTTCGACGACAAGCATGAAATTCGCGGAGCATTTAAGTGCACATATCACACCAGAATGGAGGAAGCAGTATATCAACTACGAGGTATTTAACATCAAATAATTCTGTATGTAGTGCTTCTTTTATATCTTGCACACTTACATTTGCATATTTCGTCCTTTCCTTTTGCATATTTTATGTATGCAATACCAGAAACATCAATTTGCAAGAACTGTTTATCTTATATTCACGTTTTGACATTTGACATCTATGACATTTGCAAGAAATTTGTTTGCATTAACATTTTGTAACATAATTACACAGGAAATGAAGGCTCTGCTGTACGCAGCAGTGGAGCAAGCTCCATCGGCAGATGCAAGTGAAGCGCATGTACTAGAAAGCTACTTCAGCAAGTTTGATGAAAAGTTTTTCCACTACTGTGATAAGGAACTGGCCAAAATAAATACCTTCTATTCTGGTAAGATCAATTGACATCTAATCTTTATTGGTATTGTATTATTCTCTGTTAAGAAATATTAACAGATTTTGAGATATAAAATGGGTAAAAAGAATGATTGACTTTCAGAAAAGCTAGCAGAAGCCACACGCAGATTTGCCACACTTAATAATGAACTCAGCGAGATTCTATCAGTTTCCGAAGATGTTCAGAGTCGTAAAGTACGCTATCGCAGTCACATCCTCCACAAGAAGCCGATATCAGCGCGCAAACTGCAAGAGCTGAAATTGGCCTTCTCCGAATTCTATCTCTTCCTCATTCTGCTCCAAAACTACCAGAACCTAAATTTCACCGGATTCCGGAAAATCTTGAAGAAGCATGACAAAGTACACAGGTTTTGCAAATTGATACAAATAATTTATACAAGTAAAACATAACAAAATAATATTTTGTAGCTTCTGAATGTGGACATTGGTGCCAAATGGCGTGCAGAACACGTCGACACGGCGATTTTTCACACGCGTAAAGATATTGACAGACTCATCGCGGAGACTGAGGCTCTAGTCACTCGAGATCTGGAGCATGGCGACCGTCAACGTGCCATGAAACGGCTCAGGGTGCCGCCGCTCGGAGAACATCTCTCTCCATGGATTACGTTTAAAGTCGGCCTCTTCTCCGGCGCTTTTGTCGTGCTTTTCGCAGCCGTAATGCTGTCTGGTAAGCAGAACACGACTTTTCCTCAATCTCTAAGGAGTTTTATTCATTTATGTTACATTTTGTTTTTAATTTTAGCTATGCGGTACAAGATAAAAGAAAATTGGACGGTACTCTGTCGAATTTATCGTGGACCACTTCTCATGATAGAATTCCTTTTTCTCATGGGAATTAACGTTTACGGCTGGAGATCTTCCGGCGTGAACCACGTGCTGATATTCGAGCTCGACCCACGCAATCATTTGTCGGAACAGGTTTCGTAACAGATGAAATCAATATTCTATATAAATTGCAAGCGCAAGGAGATAATATTAAATTCTAATTAATTCTGGAATACTGATAGAAGATTTAGATTTTTAGAAACGAGTTCTATTTTAAACGTCTGCTATTAATATATTTTTATAACTGTTATAAATAAAATTCGCTCTATATTCGTGATCAGCGCTTTACTCAGTTTTATTCGACGATGTATCTTAATTCCAACTGGTAATTATTTCTCATTAATATTCTAGAATTAAGAATAGATTATTAATACATGATAGTTTATGAGTTATATACTTTCAGCATATCATTGAGATGGCAACCATACTCGGTCTAGTCTGGTCCGTTTCTATTTTGGGCTTCCTGTATAGCGACACACTGGGTGTACCGCCGTTCGTTCAGCCAGTAAGATTACGCATATTCCGCCGCTGCGAGAAAACCACTTAAAAGCGCAACAAACAATCGATCTTTTTACGGCGCTTAAGGACTCCTTTATCTCAAGGAATTGATTTCAGCTTTTCGCAGGTGCTATTCTATGCGCTGCTCGCACTATTCCTGTTCAATCCCACCAAGACGCTGCGACACGAGGCCAGATTTTGGACTCTACGTGTTCTGGGTCGCGTTTTCTGCGCGCCCTTTTTCTACGTGGGCTTCGCGGATTTCTGGCTTGCCGATCAACTCAATTCCCTTCACACGGTCTTCTTGGATTTTCAATATTTCGTCTGCTTCTATATTCAGAATTCCTCTTGGACCGACATCACGGGTCAGTAATTTCTTATTACTTGTGTATAGATAGTACAAATCACTCGCTATGAATAGATATCTTGACATTTTGCTTCGCTTCCATTATGCTCGATTAGAATTGTATTTATATCTCTAATCGATATTTGATGTTTCAACTCGGATAATTATTTTCAATAAGCATACTAGATTGCATTTTTGATAAAAGAAAAATTTTGCTTTTAATTATTTTCTTCTGAAATTCTAAAACAGCTTTATATTTCTTTTATAGACACGGAAACCTGTATAGTGCGTGAACTGTCGATGAGACCGATCGTAGTGTGTTTGCCAGCTTGGTTTCGATTTGCGCAATGCCTGAGACGCTACCGGGACACCAAAGAAGCTTTTCCACATTTGTTGAACGCGGTCAAATACGCGACGAGTTTCTTCGTGGTGATTTTCTCCTACTTACATTTAAGAAACAAAAGTAAGTCCTTTATTCATTTAACTTAAAGCCTATTGTCTGAACAATATAGCAAACATTATTCGTTCTAAAACAGAATATTACGCATTGTCCACTGAGAATCCCTACTTCTACTTGTGGCTGACAGCCAGTGTGGTGAGTTCTTGCTTCACGTATACGTGGGATGTGAAGTTGGATTGGGGCCTCTTCGACAACAGCGCAGGAGAAAATAAGTTTCTTAGGGAAGAGATAGTTTATTCGTCCCCTGTGAGTTTCTTTTCCATAATATTCTGTTATATTAGTAACATGAATAAAATTAATTGTTATATAAATAAATATTTGGTTTACAGTATTATTATTACTTCGCCATGGTGGAGGATTTTATTTTACGATTTGGCTGGGCATTTTCTTTGTCCCTGACGGAGATGGGGTACGTTCACGCGGACCTTATGGTTTCCATAGTCGCCCCGCTGGAAGTCTTCAGGTAAGCAAACGCTTGAATCTCCGCTTCAATCGTGAATGCACGTGGAATGTGCAATTATGTTCAAACTAGTCAAAATAAGTGTGAAAGATATTCGTCGAAATGGCACAGTTAGCTCAATGAATGCAAGTCAATTTTTATCTTGTTATTTTATTGTTTTGTTACTCTTGATGATTAACGTTCGAATTCGTGGTTTGCACGCATTACTCTGAATTATCTCTAATGACCCTCGACCGCACTCTCTATAATAAATAATCAATCGTCGAGAGAGTCGAAGCAACGACTTGATCGACGATGAGCCGGCCGATCTAATCGCTTATCAATATCGCCTTACTAATAAGTCGCTAGAAGGTTCACGTGGAATTACTTTCGGCTGGAGAACGAGCATCTATACAATGTAGGCAAGTTCCGGGCAGTGCGAGATATCTCCATAGGGCCCGTCAGGCGCGACGAGGACGATGAGGACGATCTCAGGAATGTGATTCGTCTGATGGACGGTGAGGACAACGACGACGAAGACGATGAAGACAATGACGGCGGATTAGAGGGGTCCCATGACCGCAATGTTTGATACGTTGTAATTTGTCTTCTTTAATTTTTTACTTACTTGCATATTGTAACCGCAATATTCCTTTTTGTTATTTATATATATGTACATATGTATTTTTAAATTCGAGAGAACACCATTAAATTCCGTTTTGCACAATATTAATCATTGGATGTATCACGATGTATTTATTATAGTTTGCACGTTCGGTGTGTGAATTTTTCGGCATTAAATATCTCAGCGGATATACGATAGAATCGTTCGGGAAACTCCGGACTGTCATCTAATCAGTGTGTGCGCTTTGCAGGCGTTTCGTGTGGAACTTCTTCCGCTTGGAGAACGAGCATCTGAACAATTGCGGAAAGTTTCGGGCGGTACGGGATATCTCAGTCGCCCCGGTCGACTGCTCGGATCAGACGCAGATACTGCGAATGATGGACACTTCTGACGGCGTGATAAATCGCAGGAAGAAGCAGAAGGTCGACGAGAAGCGCAAGCCGATCCGGTTGCTCTTGAAGGGCGAATCTCTGATGGATGATTAAGGCGGCCTGATCATTGATTTAGCTGCACGTAGTTCAATTTGTAATATAGCTAAATCGATTTGTCATCCTGCAACTTAGATTTCGCTCTAATCGGACTGATAAAAACTATGAGATTATGTGAAATTTCTGGCATACATCGGACCCAAGATACGAATTATCATTTATCACTCAAGGACGAATTATCGTTTATGCGAGAGTTAAATTTAGCTGCGCTAGTCTGTCGGTGTGATTAAAAATTATGAGCAAGAAACAAATTTAGTGTGACTGCTCATCGGCAATGCACGAATCAAAAGAACGAGATTATATCAAATGTTGAAAAGTAATATATATTTGATCGCTATCTGTATCTGGATAATATAAATGGTTGTTACGAAGCAAAACATTGCGTTCTTATGACAAAGGAGTCTCAATGTTATCCTTTGCATCCGACAAAAAGAAAATCCTCCTCCCGAGTTCCGGAGCATGACAGATCCACCAGCATCCACCACTAAAATATAACGTAAAGAGCCTCGACATCGCCGGACACAATTACAAATTTAAAAAAAACGCATTCTGCATTAAAGCACCGGCGGGAAGGGAAGCAAAGGGTGAACGTCCCGAGACAGAGCCGGACGACCCGATAACAAATTCTCACACACATACGGATGCGGGTGTGCGGAGAAGCGGAGGGCACGTGACAGCTGCTTAATAATATTCACCTAATACGCTCATGTTAATCGCCGGCGCGGTGACGTTAGAGGAGAGGAGGAGGAGAAAGCGGAGAAAGAAGAGGCGCATGGAGAACCCGCGTCCCTGAGTAAACGAGAGGCACGGAGTCAGCGCTCGTGCAGCGTCGAAACGAGGCAAGACCGGTGTGGGAGGGCGGACACTTGGTCGTTTATTGATTGAACGCGAAAACGCCGCTGATCGCGCAAGCTCGCCGTCCGCCCTGAATGAAGTGACGTGCTCTCTCGCATATGGAGACGCGAATAGAACGGCGGTAAGACCTGTGTATCGTGTGCGGTGACATCGGCAGCAGCGACCAGCAGCAGCGACGACGAGAGAGGATGCTCCTTCGGCGGGGCTGCACTTGGCTGACGCTGATGCCGCTCCTGCTGAGCCTGTCCACCGGCGAGCTCAGCTTCTATCGGGGTGAGTAGAGTCCACGGCCTCGGGCGACAACGTCTTCAGGGGGAATGACACTGGTGACGCCGCGGAAAAATACACTTGTAGGGTTTCGAAATCGCATTTTCTTCTTTGATCAACGAAAATTGACCCGTCGAATCGTGGCAGCATACGTTAACGATTATGTTTCGTACGAATTTACTCGCTCCTACATCTTGATCGGTTTGCAAAGAAAAAAATATGTTAGAGTGAAAAGAGGATCCTAAGATGATCTAGAACTTTTCTGTGTACAATGTAAGAATTCTTTTTCTCCATGTAGGTTTTTTTATCCGAAACACAGAAGAAGATCAGAAGCGGGAAAGTTAGAAAGAAAAACAGTTGATAGCTATTTATTTCAAATAAAAACTAGTACTAGTGATTTTAGAATCCATCATTTGTTTGTATAAATTCTTCAAACGTAGCATGAAAACTAATTACTTGTTATACATACACATGTAAAGAAAAGATTTTCAGCTTGGATTTCGAGATAATCTGACATGATTAGCTGCAGTACTTTTAATCCTCAAAGCGTCGGACAATTAAACCTGAAGGTCAGGTGAAATTGCGGGTTTGTTTGCGACGTGATTAAAGTTCGATTTTTGCTGGCTAGCGATTATAATTTCTATAAACGTAAAAAGTTTTGCGCGTTCATAGATAGAAGTCTTGGCAAAGGTGTGGACGATTACGCTGCATCGGTGTTATCGCGGAACGCGTTTTGTATCTTGACCGCAGGAAATACATTCCCTCGTTAACGGAAAGCGGAAGTCCAACGATAACAATTCTCAGCTCGATTTGAATTTCCAGTTTAATGCTAGTTCACGAAGCTTTGCAGAGTAATATTTGCGGATTAAAATTAAGACGATTATAACTTGTAACATAATAGAATGCTATTTTCAATTGATATTTCGCAGATCAATATGTAATATTATGTAAAAAGTCTCCGTTGAAAGTGTATCTTTATATTCTTATCATACATTTAACGTCTTTATCTAGTGTCAACATTTAAAGTCAATAACAGGCGGTTGTATTTAATGCGAAGCATAAGAATTAATCTTTAGAACAAAATATTATTTTTTTTATAATCTAAGATAACATTTTTCTAGAAAAATGTACATAATGAGCAAAAATACAGTAAAATTAGAAAGAAAGAAATATTTATCGGTAACAAAATTATTTGAAAATGTTGGAATTGAAGACAATATTTTAAAAAATAGCGATTCTACGGATTAATATCAGCATTAAAAAAATTAAATGTACTTAAAATTCAACTCGTTAACTTTTGATGAGCTTTATATCAGAATAAATTGTCCTCTAAATGAGACAATTAAACATTAACAATTTTCTCAAAACGCAATTTGCTTTGGTATTACACAGATGCGCTCCCGGAAACGTCGGAGGACGCGTTAGAGCATGTGGCCCGCTATCTGAAGACGCACCGTTTACAGCAGCGTCTCCATCGCTCGTATCAGCCGATGTTTCTCTCGCCGGTGCACAAGGAGCACGACAGTCTGGACCGTCAGAATGTTCTGGAGGCCCTGTCCGACAAGGCCTTGCTTCGGGAGAACATGCTGAAGCGGAAGTTGAAGGCGCTTCATCATCGCCCGAGCAAGTATTCGATGAAGATCATTGAAACGGAATATCCCGCGACTTACTACAACTGGGACATCAAGCATCTCGACTACCCCGAAGAGAAGCAGCGTAACGGGGATGACAAGCGTTTTCCTAAGAATTTCGAAGCCATCTTTGATATGGATAAGGAAATGTTGAAGGAACTTATGGAAGACCTCCACAGGAAATACGCGAATCACAATCACGCGATGGACATGTTCATGCATCACGAGGGCGGAAGAGAAGCGGAATCCGCGGTGCGACCGGTGAAGGTGGAGGCGGCGGAGGCGGCGGATGGACCGGAGTTCACGTTCTCGTTCGACGATTCGAATCTCGAGGAGAGACATCCATTCGCGGTGAAGCCGAATGATCCTAGATACTACAGCGCCGCGCCGTTTTCATCGGGTAAACATTCTCCTGCTTTATTCGTTTATCTTATCGCAATATTCTAGAGCAGCACTTTTTAATCTATTTTAGTGTACAAAAAATCTGAAAAGCATGCATCGAATTTTTTGGAGGAATTCCTGTCCTGTTATTTCGTATCATTTTCCTTTGAAATTGGGTTACAAATTTCTGGTATTTGAAACAAAATATATGGCAAACGAATAACAACAACAGACAGTTGAAATGAAAAAAAAAATATTGTTATATGGATTTTTTGATACAGTTCACAAAGAAAAACATCAAATCGAGTAATTTTAGAACGTACATTACTTTTTTGTGCGTTTCTTTTACTGCTTTTTTTTAAACAACGGAAAATTTATTTATTATTCCCTAATTCGTAATTAATTTGTTTGGAAAGTTTAGGATCCTGCGAAATTCAATTAGAGATACATTATCCCGTAATCTTGAAAGGGTTAAATTATATCAGCATTTATATAAACTGATAAAGAAGAGCTTATTTTTAACCCTTTCTTTTTTTAAACCCTTCCTTTTTTATAATTACTTTGACCTGTTGATAAAAATAATTTCCGTCGGTTGCCCTTCGCTTCTTCTCAAAGATTATGCATGGCATTCTGAAACTTATTATATGCAATTTGTAGATAATTTCGATGAACAAGACGCGTCGAGAGATAATTGGAAGGAAGAAAAATCGGCGAATAAAGGAGACGACATTTTTATAAGACATGACGATGACACACGGAGCATTAATCGAAAAAAACTCGAGGATTCTTCTTCAGAATTCGATGGATCGGGATTGGACAGATTTGAACATCGTGCGGAAAAGTTTGAACATCATCCGATTATCGTGCCCATAAATCGCGATTTGAACAATGACATTTATTTCATCGGTAAGTAGTAAAAGTGTAACGTTCGACTGACTTTGCTAATCGACATGATCAAACGAAATGATGCGTTATACTAATGTTTTTAGCAATTGTCGCCGGTTGCAGCGCGGCGGCGATGTTCGCTCTGGTATTGATCAGTTTAACATGGTGCAGGTAATATTATTTATAATAATGCAATTTGTAATTTAGATTCACGAATTTTATTTCTTCGGCACTTTATTTCTCAGACTGCAACGCGGTGCGAAGGCGGCGGCGGACATAGAGTATCCTGCTTACGGCGTGACAGGACCGAACAAGGACGTGTCGCCTTCCGGCGACCAGAGGCTCGCTCAGTCCGCTCAGATGTATCACTTCCAACATCAGAAGCAACAAATTATCGCCATGGAAAAGTGAGTTGACGATTCATATGTTTCATTCTTAAGAATGGCCGGGAAATATTTGGATTTTCTAATAGATACAGCTACGATGCTAAGAAATAAATACACATATCAAAATCTATTTTCATGGAGAAATTTGAGAAATCAAGAAAATAGGGATAATAATATATTTAAAGATTTTTCAAAGATAATCCTGGGAATGTTTGTTTTATCTTTTATCTTTAATTTAAGGGAAATGATGCATTGTTGCAGTCGCACGTCTGCAACGAGGGATCCGGGATCCCTTTCGGAGGCGGAGAGCGACGAGGAGAATGAAGAGGGCGATTACACCGTTTACGAATGTCCAGGACTTGCCTCTGTGAGTTTTGCATAAGTAATTTATGTCTCTTGGGGTTCAATATGTTTCTTGAAATCGGCGATTATAAATATCATTTCTAAAAATCGTCGTCGATCGCTTGTGTTAAAGACGGGCGAGATGGAGGTGAAGAACCCGATGTTCCACGACGATCCCACCCCGGCGACGCCGGTGGCGCAGGGCAACACCAAAGAAGAGGACCACATATAGTTTCAGTAAAGTAGAAAGGGTAAACGCGCGCGCGATCCGGCGAAATCTTCCCTGGTGCTTAGCTCACTGTTAATGTACCATATCGGAAACGTTTATCTATTATATTGAGTGTATAACTTTAATATTTATATATCGCATGAGGGATGCGACGCGTTTTACTTGCGGGTGGATGAGGGGGATGAAGGGATGATATCTCGGTACCAGAACGGCCGATGTACTTTTTTTTGTTCCTAAACATTGAAATATTATATCTGCACAGCGAGTGAAATCAAAGGCGCGGCGAACACAAGTCGACGAATATATGTTAGCGATGTAATGCGGGTAGATATATAGCACCTATAGTTCGTGATAGTCGCATTGTCGAGCTGGTCCAATCAACCTTACGTCAATGTGCTTCTTCGAAGAGATTTAATCCTACGAACATGAGCCTTTCTTTAATCATCTGCATTACAAAAGGCGCTATAAAAAAATAATGATAGAGTTTGTGATGACTTTCTTTTTTTTTCATGTCGCAGGACGACATCGGTTCTTCTAGCACCGAAACGTTAAATTGTCGATCTCGGTTTTATGAGTGAACAGTTTTGTGGGGAACGCGGAGAGAAATCTCGTGGGAAAGTGAATTGAACAAAACCGCATCTGTCTGAGAACACCCAATTTTTTAACGTCGCGAACGTACTATAGTTTGTACTTTCATAGCAGGAGCAGTTGCCGCACCAGACGTTCATTATTTTTCTATGGTCCGCCATCGATCGCTCATGCCGTGCGAACATCTGATGGGCACTTTGCGGATATTGGAATATGTCTGTTGGATATGCGTGCTGTATGAGTGGCAGTATACCAAAGTCTATTGTCCGAGACTATAATCCTTTGAAAGTAAAAAGAAAATCACGACTACTGATTTGGAACGGTCTACACATCGCCGCTGTTCAAATCTGTTTACTGTCGGTACGTTCACGGAAAGTTATATACAGTATTATTGTATAATTATACAATTTTATCTATATACCAGAAATGCAACTTACACATCTCACGCTAAGCAACGTTCTGCAAAACACATTCTTGTTTGATTACGCGAGGGACAGAATACATCGGATAATTTCCTTAAATATTTGCTCTCGGAATTGCAACGAAAAAATTTATGACGGACACAGTTACGAACAATTTAACTTTTGTGCCGTGTTATTTTGTCAGTAATTGGCGACTGTTAGCGAGTTCCTCGCAAACTATTTTACGCGTGATAATTATCGAGATCTTTATTGTTTTTTTAAAAAAAAACTCAAGTTTGAACTGTATATTATATTCTTACATAATTGCTTGTGATGATAAATGGTGATATCAAATGATTTTTTATCTAAGTTGAAGTCAATTGTTTAAGAGTATATGAAAATTGTTGTTGTTTTATTATATTTTCATCTAAGATAATTGTCTCCAATTATCTTCTTTATGCAAGAGAAAAAAGTCAATAGAGCATGAGCTGTGCAAACATACAAATTAAGTTGTATGTTTCCCACTTTTACACGTTTTAAGGTGCAGTGTTTCTTTGTGAGTAACAATCTCAAATGTGCTTGCTGTGAGGAAACTGTTCTTTAGACAGTTACCAATAGATACACACACATACACGTAAAACATAAATAAACACACACACACACACTCAGACGTATAACATTTGTTGGCTTAAAAAGACAATATATTTTATTTTTCTATGATACTCGTCATTGTTAGCTGTATAAATATAATCTATGAACTGCTGTAATCCTAAGTCAAATGCAGAGCTACTATTACTATTTATTTTAGCAAACGTCAGATGTCTATATTTAACGCAAAGCGAGTAAAGAGTGACGCTCTGTTTTGCGTTATAGCTGTTACAAAATCCTCCTCTATTTGTGCTATTATGCTGAACAATACAAGCATATGGCACAGAATCTCCTGATATAAAGAGCTCTTCCTTTTCCCATCATTACAAAATATTATTAAGCGATTAATGTATGTTTAATCGATGAGTGTAATGATCTGTTAAAGCATGAATCTATGTTTCAGATTTCTAGTCTTCTATCTACACTGTATATGACATATATTATTACATGAATACACTAAACGCATAAGCAGAGAATACTATGAAAGGACAATCTGTGTACAAATAGACTATTGGCATATAGCGATTTGTAGCATGATTGTGCGTGTGTGTTGTATTCATCCCGGAATAGAAAAATTATTTGTCGAGTCAAATTTAATCCTAATGTCGCATTAAAATTATAATCTTACCTTGCAACATTCGTAATCCGTCTATTTAAATCGCAAGCGAATTACAATATTATTATTATTATTTTTACTAGTAATCAAAATCTAGAGTGTAAAAATATATATATATATAAATTACAAATGATGTATTATTATTTTATTAAAATAAATTGTTTATTTTAATAAAATAAAAACTGTGGTATATGAGTGGCAAATTTGCTAGATAAACTTGTTTTAAAGCCTAAAATACACAGAAACATTGAAAAATTGCAATAGTAAAGTGTGTTTTTTGTTACTTGACGAAACGCAGAAAGTATATCGTACTTCGACGAAGATAACTCTTTTGTAGCGCACTTAAATCTTTTCGATCTGAAAATACATTCCGGTTTCATATTCATTTTTAAAATTATTATGAATTACATAAAGTTAATTAATTCAATCGATATTTTCGAAATGAATTAAACATTATTCAATTTTGTTAATAAAATTAATACATATGAGAAATTCTCGTAATTAATACAGATTTTTTAAAGAATATAACTGCGTGAAATATCTCCATTAAAATTGAAAAGCGCAGTGATCATAAGTAAAATCCAAAAAGTAGAAAGAGAGAAAGAACGAGAGAGTTTGAGAGAGAGGTTGACAACTGTGCGCTGTAGCGCACTTTGCGCAACGTGGCGGCAGAATGAGATGACATCGTAATGTGTCTTATTTTAGAAATATGTATACTTTTCAAGGTGAGAGGGCTACCAAAATATACGGTGAGAGAGATCCTGATTCTCATATAATATTTGTCTCTTTAATACTGTTATGTGTATAATCTATCTTTTTAAATACGCCGATTAATGTACGATCGATGCTCAAACACAGGAAGTTTGAAGTGGCGTAGCGGACGCTACCCTCCACTTTGCTTTCGTTCGCGCATGATCGTGAGTAGCTCTGTTCGGCTGCGTTTCAACAAAATAAAGCCCACTCTACTGCCGACTACTGCATTGGTTGTGCATCGAACTGTGATGCGTACGTACAATTGTCTGCTGCTCCGCTGTTGTTGTCTTTCGTAACGTAGCGTTCGCCTTGCAGGGAGTGTCGCTTAGTGAACCATCGATTCGCCAATTTCTGATTATTCCAACGTGAAAGTCGTGTAAACAGTTCGACCAGCTGCAGAATCCGGACGGCTCCATTTTACACATCCCAAATCGGAGAAGATTCGCGAACATGTTATCGTCACCGAAGAAACTGTGCTACCACGATGATTCCTTCTATAATTTTTTGATACGGGATACTGATGGGAAATTATTCTTGCGGATCAGCGGTGGCGTCGGTGGCATCAAACTGAAGGATTTCCTAAAGGAGATGGTAAGCTGCTCTCGATTCTATTTAGCCAACCATGGCGAGCTGATTTTGAAGAAGCGTTTTCAAAACGTGCTTTTTTGCACTTTTTGGTGCTACGGCGTCATTATGGCGTCAATATCTAATATTTCTGTTTCGATACAATAATGTATATATCAATCAAGAATGATGCAAGTTTGGAAAATTTATTTACCTATCAGGACCTATATATTTTTTATTTAAATCTTTTTCGTTTTATTTCACGTTTATTTTATTTAAATCGTTTGTTTAAAGAAAGAAGATAGTGAATATCATATCTTCTTTTTACTACGTTTAGTACAATGTATAATAATATAAAAAATGATAAATTATGATTATGTATATTGCGCATGGAAAATTAATATGTTCCCTGTCCCTCGTGGATCGTGTGCACCCCACAACTTCCGTTTTGAGAATTCTACTTCCGTCCTAAACTGTGTAAAGATGGCGAAATTTGTTGATTTAGATAATTTTTGTTTTATTCCATAGCGTATTTTAAACACATTTTTTTTCATAATGTTTTTTACTGTCTTATAAATATTATAAAGCATATATAAACACAATTATTAGTTTATTAATCACGACACGTGAGTCGTACGTGATCCACGTGGTCGTATGTGACCACACATGTGGATTAAATGGAAAATGATCGAAAATCAACACGGCAATTGACGTGTTAATAACAATCTGCTTCTGATTATGCACACAAATGTGATTGAAAATAATTTTTTTATATGTATAATTTTCAATTACACACAAGTATTTAATTTTTAATGATCTTTTTTTATATCAATTTAACTTATTTGAATTTTTAAATCTGCATATGTACAGTAATACATCTTATATTAGATTATAAACTAATTGTATGGAGCTAAGAAATATATTAAAATTTATTTGATAAATTTGATAAATATGCACATTGATGAATTTTAAACGCAAATTTAATGAATTTTAAATTTGCAAATATAATAAAGTTAATGCTTATATATATATATCTATATGTTATAATATTTTATAAATTAAATACCATAACATACCATAAATAACATAACTTTTGTGTTTGTTGCAGCGGAAGCAAACTAAAAAAATCTGTGTCGACATCTCTGTAGACAAAGCTTTTTTTTTTTACCGCAATTTTGTTGGGGAGTTTGTTTTAATTCATTCACAATTGGAATTGGAGAAGACATTAGAGGTATATACATATATATAATATAAAAATATAATTATAGATAAATCCGAAAAGCTATCACCTCCGATTTGGCTGATTTTCAGCCTAAATACTTATTTTATCTAGTAAATAATATTCCCAAATGGATTTTTGGCGCAAATGCCCCCTCCGCCCCCCACCCTCCCTCAAAGGTAAAACTGTTTTTGTTAATTATTTTAGAAAGTGTTTATTGTACAGAAAAAGTTGTCAAACAAAAATTGAAGCTCATAAAATGCTCTACAAATAAGGTCCTATACATATTTTACCTAACTCCAATATTTTAGCCATTATTATCAAAAATCTGAAGGCAGTATGTTCCGCGTAGAAACTCGTAAACCCACGTGGAACCTCGCTTCGCGTGGAAAGTGTATGTGTGGAGGCAGTGTGTTCCGCCCCTCTGCGGGGGGGCTCCACCATCAAAAATCTATACATATAGGGTTTGGATTGAATCTCGCTTTGCGTAGAAAGTCGTAAACCCACGTGGAACCTCGCTTCGCGTGGAAAGTGTATGCGTGGATGCAGTGAGTGCCGCCCCTCCTATGGGGGCTTTTACAAGTTTTTTTGATAATAGTGACTAAAATATTGGAGTTAGGTAAAATATGTATAGGACCTTATTTGTAGAGCTTATTATGAGCTTTATTTTTTGTTTAACAACTTTTTCCGTACAATAAATACTTTCTGAAATAATTAACAAAAACAGTTTTACCTTTGAGAGGAGCTGGAGGGCAGAGGGGGCATTTGCGCCAAAAATCCATTTAGAAATATTATTTACTAGATAAAATAAATATTTAGGCTGAATATCAGCCAAATCGGGGGTGATAGCTTTTCGGAAGTCCACCCAAATTTTATTAAGTTTTAGTTAGGTAGATTTGTAGAATAACTGTACAGAAAAATAATGCTGTTTATTAAAAAAACATTGGAATTTATTTTTAGTTGCGATAAAGAAAAGTATATATTAATTGCAAGTAAAAGCAAATGCGCATAATATTATAAAAAGACAGTTTATGCAAATTGTTAATTTAGAATTAGATTATAGAAATGTATAGACGCGCAATAAAATACAAGAATTAGAAGCAACAATTAGAGTACATCAAATATTATTTGTAATATAAAATTTGTTTTGAATGTTCTACATAAATGTAATATATTTATATTTATTTTTCTAATTTTAAACATAATACAACATAAGCACCGGCAAAATAATTTACAATTTTTCTGTTTTAGATTACAAAATACTTTGGTTCAATGCCATTATATCTAGGGATTTCCTTAAATAAAAAAATCGCTGAAATCTTTGCAGAATGCGAGCAATGTAGAAACAAAAAGAAATACAGCAATTCGCCCATGCTCTCTAACAAGACAAATCCCAAGTCTAGAACAAAGTTCAGTTCAGAACAAAGTTCGGAAAATGTTGAAATTGTGAAAGAATGCATTGATGAAAAATTTCTTGGTGAAAAATGCTTGGATGAAATTCATCATCAAAGTATCTTTGAACCTTCGAGAATACCATCATCTCAAGAAAAATTATGCAACAATTTGCACAAGAAACAGAAAGAATCGAAGGACATGAAAGTTTTAAGTCAGTTTAATGATTCGAGTACTGTGCCTCCTCCTTGGTTTGAGGAATATATGAAAACGGTAAATATTATAAACATACGAATTTGCATCTAAATGCTGAAAATATTCGTACGCGTATTTATATACAATATTATGTATTAAAGTATATGATAATAATATATAATCATAATGTATTGAAATAAAATAGATGTAATAAAACGATTAATCTTATTTTTTCCATAGATGAAGGACGACATGATATATAAAATCACACACGAAGTGACGAAGAAGGTGACAAAAAAGATGTTTAAACATTTGGATCTTTTTCTACAAAATCTACCTGTTGAACAGAATCAACCCTATTATATTTCTTCTCCTTTGGAACGAGAGCCACAATGTTCTTCTAAATCGATCGAGAAGAACCAAGGCCAGAAGAAATCTCAGGACGAGGAGCAATCGAGTGACGCCTCGATTGAACGCATAGAAGAGCCACAAAACGCGGATACCGCGAAAGATGTACAAGTGACAAAGAACGAGAGATCCACAGTCAACAGTAAGAAAACAATAAAGGACATATCGGAGAATCTAATTACGATTGTTCCATCAAAGAAACATAAAAAATCTGGCAACTTAATTAAGAAGAATCATATAGAGATCGAGAAACAGTTGGAGCATGCAGCAACAGTTTCCGAACTAAACTTATTTCCGTTTTGGGAAATAAAAAGGAGAATGCAAAAGAATGCATTCATCGACTATGAGATTATGGAAGAGAAGAAGAATCAACGGGAGGCTCAAATACGGCAGAATTTCGATAATCTGATGAATGACGCAATATTACAGGAAAAACCCGATGAAAATTCGTTTACGGCAAATCCGAAGGTTCGACCGATAAAATCAGCAGACTGGAAGCCGGGAAAGATCGAGAACGGGTTCCATATGAGTTGCTCCGTAACCGGGCATCAAATGTTGGACGAAAATCAGCAAAATATCAAAGATCTCTTGTCAGGTCGCTGCAGCGACGCGTTGGACGACGCGCTGCAGGATGACGTTGACAAAATCAGCTTCTGCTCATGCAATCAGGAAGAAAACGACGATGACACTTTCGAGATCATTGAGATCCCTCCGGAGAAGAACGACTCGTTTACGCGTCATAAGGAGCCCGTCGCCGAGCAAGAGGGACGCAATAGCAGCCGGGACTCGCCGAGTTTCGAGCTAGTGACCGAACCCTCGTCGCCGTGCTCCATATATATCACCGAGGATCATTTCGCAGCAAACGAGGGAAAGTCTGATGAGGAAGATCCGCGGTCGAACAATAATAATAATTCCACAAGCTGTGGTGGATACCAGCCGGAATTTGACGAGCCCGTCAAGTCGATGGACGCCGACTTGGAGAAACGATCCGGCGGCGCGTACTCCTTTGTCACGGAGACGCTGCCTGCGCAAGATTTCAACTCGTTCTCCAAATCGTTGCGCGCGAAGCAGCGGTCAAACGAGGGCAAGTATTCTCGGGACGACGGTAGATCATTGCCCGAAGACACATGCGGCTTGTACGACGACGTGAGGAGCTCGCACACGAGCTACCTGACTGTACAGACTCATTGCGACTGCCTCTCGCAATGCGCCAATTTGGGTGACCTCACGCAGAGCTTCCACTCGCACACCACGTCGATCAACGATATGACCGATGTCTCGCACCGCTTAGTGAACACCGACAATTCGCACTCTTCGCAGATGCCGAGCACAGATGCACAAGATGCGGCGGCGATTCCCAAGAGCAGCGTTGATCCACATGTCGACAATGATCGGGTGAAGAACGCCAAGATGAACGAGATGCACGACGCGGACAATTATCCGAAGTGCCGCGTTTCTACTCCGCAAGATGTTTTTACCGATACTCCGCATCAGTATCATCGAGCGAACGGATTGCCCGACAAGTCGAGTCCCTACGCAGGATCGGGAAAGACGTTCGCCGCCGAGCAGCCTGGCACCGCTGATTCTGTCCACATTCTGCCGGAGACGTTGGTCATCGCGGCCGCGCAAGTCGGGTCGTTTGCTTACGACACTGCGCGCGAGGTGTTCGACAAGATACGAGCGCACGCGGTAAGTTCTATTGGTATTTGAGAAACACGATTCTTGACTTGGGTCAAGAATCGCTGGTCTTAGGATGATACGTTCGCGCGAGTAAAATCGTTGAAGAGAAAAAAAAACAAAACAATAGAAATCTGTTATCTATTTCAGAAGGAAGATTCTACTAAACGCCGAAGCGGAACAAAGAGCGATCATAAGAAGCCTTTCGGCAATTTGCCGTTTATCTAATGGACTACTAATCACCGAACCTTCGTTTATATAGTTAATACATTAAACACTACACCAGATCGCTAAATAGATCTCTTAGACGACGGGTAAATAAGCGGGATCGAATAGGTGAGACGCGAAACTGCTTCCTGCAGATACTTCAAGCGAGGTGCGATTGAAATGTATAACGTTTAATGTAACGTTTAATAAATGTATAACGTTTCGTTTACAACACTCTAGTTTCTTCGCAGCGAGTGAAATCGAGTTTCGTACGCCGATTATTATTAATTGAGAGACGCCAAATATGCAGAGTGTCTCACTGCTAACGGAAGGAATTTTAATGAGACTGAATCGATAATGCAATCAATAGTTTGACAGAAATGACGAGGACGGCACTGAGACATTCTGCATATACTGCAGGATAATCTTTAATTGCACGCAATAAGTAGAATTGTGAGAGTATTTCGAGCCAAAGAAATCCCATGGAATATCACACTTTTGTTTATTGCGTAAAATTAAGGACCACTGTGTATGTGATAGCACTTACAGTTGCAATTTACGCTACAATATAGACTGTTAACACTGGTCGTAGGTATATTAAAGTTTAAAAACTAATTATACACATAATAAAAAAGCAGGGAAGAAGAGTGATAAATGCGATAATTTTAAGTCTGTTTCGAAATATTGAGTAGAATACGCGTTATTCGGGGCTGAATGGTCGTTGCTGGCCTACGCGGATAATTTTGCAAGCTCGCTTGAACAGGACACTGTTCAATTCTGCTAAACGCACCAGCCTGCACACCGGTGCAGGTTTTAGTACCCAGATTCTGCTCGCCGACAAACTTCCTAGATTCAGAAAGTCCACTGGTCAGTTTTCCATATGGCGTTTCACGAAACAATTGTCGATGTTCGAAGATAAGAGCACAGCGACACTGAATATTTACTCGACTTATTGCACTATCGTGATATTATCGAATCACACGACACGTACTTGTGTCGTGGATTTGCGGAAATAAATATTATAGACACAAAAAATGGTTTGTAGTTCAAATATAAATTTTCTCGATTTCAAAAACCACGCAATTTGAATGTACCTCCGTATATTTATTAGCTTTTCATTTGATTTTTATCATGAATTTTATTTAAATAATTATTAGTGGACATTCTTTTCTTTTATTTTTGTGTAAAAACATGAATATATATATAAATTAT